CACTTGAAGGTCATTATTTCAGAAGGGAAAAAGATTCTTTAGTGCACAATCAGGCAAATATCTATTTGCCCATCCATCCATCCATCCATCCATCCATCCATCCATCCATCCATCTATCCATCCATCTTATTTAAAAGTTGTAGACATGATGAAATTTCTACCCAAAATACTTTAACATGTTGCTCCTAAAAACAAAGATATTGTTCAACATAACTACAATGCTCTTGCTATATTCAAGAAATTAACATTGACGCATTATTTAATACAGTTTTCATATTCAAATTTCTCTAACCCTGCTCCAAATACTATATAGATTTTTATCCTCTGGATTCAGAATCCAATCAAGATTCATCCTTTGCATTTGAATGGCATGTCTCTTTAATTTGAATTGTCTCTTAGGACATTGACTTTTTTTTTTTTTTAAGGGAGATAATTTTTTTTAAGATTTATTTTTATTTATTTATACAAGCACTGGGTACAGTCAGACACGCGGGAGGGTGAGAGAATTCACCAGAGCCAGAGTGGGGAGCAGAACAGGCAGAAGGGCCGAAGTACACTGCTGAGGGGAGCAGCGGGCGGCCGGAGAGGTCTGCGCGCCATGTGGGACTCTCCTCCGGTGGCTGGGGAGCAGCCGGGGTTCAAACCGGCGCTGCAGAGGCTGCGGGCAGCTTCGCAACCTAGCGCTCAACTGCTGCGCCAGGGGAGGCCCATGGACATTGACATTTTTGAAATGTTCAGGATGAAACCTTGAAGAATGTTAGAACATCTGGATTTGCCTATTTCTTAAAGGTTGAGTCAGTTTAAATGTTTTAGCAAGACAATTACTTAGGTGATGCTGTGTACCTCCTACCACATCAGTTTATCCGTCAGCTTTTCCCATTACTGGTGATATTAAAATTCATCACTTGTATTAAGGAGGTTTCCATCAGATACCTCCACTGTAAGGACATATTTTCTCCTTTGTACTTAATTCATCTCTGAGGTGATCTTTTCACATCTCTCCCAATACTTTTAGGCTTACTATAATTACATTTCTTTAATTATAAAGAAAAATTGTTAAAAATGCTGAGAACAGTTTCATAACAACAACAAAATATTAAATACATGTGTGAATCATTCCATTTAAGAGAAAAAGAAGAAAGGACTGCATGGAAAGAAAGGAATATGACCACAGTGGAACCTGCTCCATTGGCTGCATTTATCTGTATTTTGTGTCCTCACTCTCTCTCTCTCTCATTTAACAGGAGCTCTTTGACATTAAAGCACTTACTGTACCTCAGCAAATCAGCTATAGTGTCAAAGAAAATTCCAACATTTTGGGCAAATTGATGGAAAAAGAGAGTAGGTGATGAGGATAGTAATGCAACAGACATTCTTTTAAGGTTGTATTTGGCAATGCCATTTCCAGTCCAGAATGGAAATAAGGTACAATTCTGTTAGAGAATCTAATCTAGATACAAACTCACTGATATATAGTCTTCCCCTCACTTTCAGGCCGACTTACTCATTGTGTCTTTTATGCTCACATCACACCTCAGGTAGACCTGACACAATGTTGATATCTGCATCTGACATCTCTTACATCAATGTCTCTCTCCTGTCCTCAGGAACTTGGAAGTTCCATGACGGCACAACCTCTGCACCTGGGTGTCACTAACACCCAGCACAGTGGCAGGCATGGAGAACATACTTAAGAAATATTTAAAGAATGGGTTAGTAAAGGATAGTTCTGTTGTCCTTTGCTTCCTGCTTTTACCTAGTAAGTAGATTTGGCATTTAAAGTATGGTATTCTGACTATAGAGTCACATTTGTGATCACTATGGATGGAACAGTTCTCATAGCATTCAGTTTCAATGCACAAAGACTCATTATATAAGATAAAGTCCTTAGCTTTTAATCAGACATTAAGAGCCCTAGTTCCGGTTAGTCTCGACCTACTTCTCCAACCTTATTTCCCAATATTTGTTCCTTCCAAAATGGGTGTTTCACTCAAATGATTTCCATTCCATGTTATATTAAAATTCACCTCATTACAAATGACCTCCCTTCTCTACTGTCTTCCCACTGCCATGTCTCTGTTAGCTTACTTTTAAAGATTTACTCAAAGGCTAACTACTTCATAAACATGTTTCTGTCCCTACTTGGAAATGTCTCTCATCTTTTTCTGAATTCTCAAAGAGACTTGCTGAACTTTAATTAAGTCACTCGTCACTTTCTGTCTGTGTTATGACTAAACACCATAACTCCATCCACATTCCCCGTTAGACTATACGCAACTTTAAAGGTAAGACCCATGTCTGCCTGTCTCCATATGCCTCCAACACCTTACACAGTAGTCGGTACATAACAGACAATTGATAAATGTTTTCACACATAAATTTTCTTTGAATAATCCTGGTCTTGGTTCACATTTTGTTCATTCACCCATCTCTAGTTTTTCATCTCATTATCACCTCCACAAAACCTTCCCAAAATATCCAATCTCAACTTTTGGAGGTGATGGATATGTTTACTATCTTAGCATGATAATGGTAAAACAAGTATTTATAGAAGTCTAAACCCACCAAATTATATATATTAATTAGGTGAAGATTTTTGTATACCTCTTATACCTCAGTAAAGCTGCGGAACAAGATCTGAGAGTTGAAGAAAAATGTATAGACCTGGAGCCTGGATTCTAATCCAGTCCTGCAACTTACTAGCTGTTGACATTGGACATATTAGTTTACATTTCTATGCCTGAATTTCCTACTCTGGAAATAATAATATTTATTTCACATTTATTTCTGTAAGGATGAAATTTTTAATTTCTACAAAGTGCATAAAACAGTACTGCCATTTTTAAGCTCTCAATAAAGGTTAGTTGTTATTCCAAATTCTGTCTCATGGCTAGTAATCCTCATCTGGCAATGATTACTTACCGGTTGGTGACATATGTTCTATTTTTGCTAGGAACTTAAATTTAAATCAAGTATTATTAATGGATTTCTAATGAGTATGTCTTGTTTTCTGAAATAAATTGCAACCCTCAGGAGAATGGGGTAACTTTGATTATTGAGCATATTCTACATGCCAAGAAGTTGGCTAAGTGCTTCCTATAAATATTTTATTCAATGCTCACAATAACAGTATGAGCTAGCTATTATTTCCATATTATAGATAAAACAAAAAAAATGAAGTTTTACAGAGTGTAAGTAACTGGTTAAAGTCTAAGCTGTAAGTAGTAGAGCTAAAAACGTTCTTGAAGGCAAAAATAATATTTAATTTATATCTGTTTCCCAGAGTGCTTAACATGTACTCATTAGCACAATCATTCCCTATGCTCACTTTTCTTTATAGCTATGTACTATGTTGTTGTGATATTTGAAGCACATATACTTGCCATGTTAACTTTTAATTTTTAAAATATGTTAATAGAGACCATATTTTTCACTATTAACATGTTTTGAATTTTTACAAGTTTATCTTACACTCTATATTAACTTTTCTCCCTCATTACTGAGAAAAGCATGGCATACATACTTTAATATAACTAGTGACTTTTTCTTTTACTATTTATGTATTTGTGTTAATCTCCACCAATTTATGCCTAGTTTTTAGCTTAATCATTATACTTCATGGGTTAATGGTTTTTCTATAGTGAACTTACTAAAACTGAGAAAAATGCTAGGACATTTACTTTATGCTTTTGATGGGAAATGAGGTTCAGGCTGAGAGAAAATACCCTAGTATTGCTCAGCCAGTGCAAAGCAGAGAAGGGACCAGAACCAGACCTCTGTATTCCCACTATTGTGCCTTCAAGAAAGCTACACAGCCACCTGCATACAAATAAATGCCAAGCTGTTTTATACTCTAATACCTGCAGGTCCATCTTCATTGTGATTTTGGACCAGTGTTATCATACTCCCAAGTGGGAAGATTTGAAAAAAAAGGAAAAAGTAAAAGCTCTGTGCAATTTCCACCTCTGAGCCTTTGTCTTCAACAACCCCCTGATACAATGTCTATTCTCCATATGTCTGTTACTCAAAGCATAGTTCTCAGATGGATGTCTGACTAAGGAATGCTTATCACCCTGCAGAGAGACAAGTATAGAAACAGTATTTTGAAGATATTACAGCAATTTAACAGAATAATTTATCATTGTGAAATTTAGAAATGATGAGACTTGGTCTTCCATTTTGTATTCTTAAATTTCACTTTTTAGTAGTTGCTTTATATTGTACTATGTCAACAAACTGGTCTCTAACAGATTGAGGAGGAGACAGCCTTTTATTACAGAAGATTTGAGAGGCCCTACTTAAAGGGTCCAGGGTCAAGTGTCACCAATTCTTCAATAAACCATTCCTGACATTCCTGATGAACATTTGACCTAAACCTCTCATGCCTCATCAATTTACTTAGACTGGTTATTATTTATGTGATTTATTAATTATTCTGTCCCAAGGACTGGTTATGTATCCCTAGCAAATTACAATTGTCATAAAATTCATAAATTCACATTATACTTATGGACAAGATGGGTTAATTTGCTCATTATTATTCACAGATTTGAAGAGAGGAGAGGTTTGAAAAAGCACAAAAGGAACAACTTTTCCTGAACTGAGGGAAAGAATTGAGACAGCAGTTTAGACTATACTCAATTCCAAGGTGTGCTCATGAATATTTAGTCCCAGTGAGAAATCTGAACACATACATGCAAAAACCCTATTTCTGCTTGATAAAATGTTAATAAATTGTCAAAAGTTAAGTTTTAAAATCAAATTTGTATCTCAAGAAACTGCTTGGTACTGCTGAGGTTTTCGTACATGTTAAACAGATACCACATTTATATCAGTTTCACAATTTAGTTCCCAGAAGTGCTCAGTCTGAGCATACATACCAACTCTAATGCATCCTGAGTCAAATCCTTTACCACTGCACTTGATAATACTCCTAATTATCAGTGAAGGAAGATAGAACAGGACATTTACTTGAGAAGTCAGCTCCAGAACCTACTCACCAAAATATTCATCAGCAGGTGGATTTTCCATGTCATACAACATCTTTTTGGTCAGATGTTCAAGCTCATCTTCAGGGCGGAATGAAGGGGGGGCAGCTGGAGGTCCCATTGATCCTGTTTGTCCACCCTGAAAGGCAGAAAACACACAGATCCTTAAGTGCAATCTAGACATCAACTCAGACAATCAGTGTTTACACTGTAGAGGAAAAAGAACAAGACTTGGCTGATAGGAGACCGTGATTTTAGAATCAGTTTTATTAGTTATTCCGTGTCTGACCTTGAACACATTACTTTACTCCCTTGCCTTATGATGAGTCATCTAGCAGGCTTTGGAAATCCATATTTATCACAGTGGGACTCCATTTCACTTAACAATTGCTAAGCAATCATGTATAAGATGTATATTTATTAAAAGATGAATAAATTGAGCTTTCCTCCTTCTGGAACTTACAGTCAAGTGAGAGAGGTAGGCACATTAATAATTAAAGGTAAAACAATGGCAGAAAGGGTGCAATCAGAGTATAGAAGTGACCTCTCCTGTAGTCTTGTCACGGAACAACCCCGATATCAAAACGGGTTGCCTGGCTGTAGGTCCTCACCCGCGTGCTTAAAAGGGACTTATTAATACTCCACTATAGGCACACACAAAAGGTTAATAAAAGGTTTATTTACAAGGGAAAGGGAATTAAGGAAATGTACAACTCAGGGAGAAAATAGGGAAATAAAGTCTTTAATGCGTCCTACCCGATCCGCTGACCTGGAAACCCAAAGGCACGCTCAGAGATGGCCGAACGGCTGCTAGCTGGCAGAGAGCCAAAATGGGGGATCTCCAAAGCCCATGTGTCTGGCTTTATACCAAACCTGGCTGCTTAACCCCACCCTCAGGTCCCAGCCACCTTCCCTTTGGTGGTGATGGGATTTGGAGTTCCCAGTGTCTTTTGGCTTTGGTCTGGAGTGGGTGGTGGAGTCCACAAAGTCTGTATGGAATTAGCTTTAGGACATCCTTTTCCCCCTAACAGTCTGAGAGAAAGAATTCTAAGGGAGAGGTAGCAGCCCAGGCTAGGATTATTCAGCCAAAGGGGCAGAAACATACTAGCTGATAGTAGTTGGCATAAGGAACTCTTGCATTTCTGGGCCATGTATACCATTTGAGATAAGAAATGAAATAAAAGATCTGATTTGGTAGAGGGGTTGAGAAAGTGCAAGACTATGTGTTTCAGTTAAAGATGTTGAGTCCTTTTTTCTCCCAGCACTATATACAGCCAGATATGGAATGGGGAAAGTTAGTCAGTTGAGTTGACATTGGGCTGGTGCTTAAATATGTAGATAAGCCATAATTATAGCACCACAGGGAGAGAATTGTTAGGTGAAAGAGCACTTGAGTTGATTAACCAAAAATCCCAAGTATGTAGAGGAAGAAAGGCCAGATGACTTCTTTGTGCATGGTAAATACAAGGGGATTTATTATATGGGGTTGTCAGAAAGTCATGATGTATCTTTTCTGTTTTTCAAGCATCATGACTTTTCTGACAACACAACCCAATATTTTCTGTTCCCTATATTATAACTTTGACTACTGCCAAACATCTTCAATCATTATCAAACTAGCCACTCTGTTATAAAAGGTTGAGAAATGATGATGGTATCCACCATGGCTAATGGGCAGAAATGAGAATGGCAATCCTCATTCTTGATGTTTATATATTCATAAATTCATTGACCAAGAGTTTCTTCTTCTATGAATAGTTTACAAGAATCAGTACAATAAACTGCATATGCATATAGTGATTATCATCACTATACTAAACAAATCTTTGATGTGAAATCCTATAAAGTACAAATGTTTCATTCTTACAACAACTTCAAGATGAGTGTTAATTTTTTATGTGATGTCTAAGGCATGAAATGCCTTATAAATAGATGTGACATTGTTGGTTGGTATCTATTTGGCATTTTCACATGATTATCTTCCATTTTTAGATTAAAAAAATGCATAGTAAGTTATAGTAAAGATATGCAGAAGGCTGAAAAAGGCAGGAATCTGTTATGTTGGTCACTAATCTTACCCCTGGGATTTTATTTCCTTGCTAGAAAGTTTAGATTGAAGATCAGAAAGCAGCAAATAAACCATGGCTTGTGGCAGGTGAGAGGGACAAAAAAATAGAGCAGCATCCTGGGATATGAAGAATCATTATCTCAACCTATTCATTGTGAGATCAGGAGATTTACTCAAAAAAGATCATGGAAAGGCTAGATATGATAAAGTCAAGACAAGATACCATTCTAGATTCATAATTCAATAAACATTAAATGTTAAGCTTAGGGTCTCTCTAAACTACAAACACCTGCCCTAGATGGTTGGAGTGAGGGATAAAGGAGCTATTGAATCACTCACTTACTCGTTTCCTGATTAGTTTATCTGCTCATTATACAGCATCAATTTTGTATACCCTCTGCAAGCATCAGAGAGTGTGACATAGATATATTAGACAAAGTCTTTGCCTTTGAGAGGATTGGCGTATAATGAGTGTATAGAAGTAAGTACAAATGATTAAGGATAAAAAGCACAGTGTACTGGTGGGAATCTATGCTATTATTATTAAATTTAAGTTGCACAGATAGTACTACTTTAAAAAAACTATAAAGAAGTACTTATAATAAGAACATAAAATTAAATGACCAATGCTGGTCATAAGATGCATATTTGAGAAAAGAAACAAAAAGTAATGACTTGTCTATCCATCCGTTGATATGGGGTTGCCTAAACAGGCAATAACACGCAATGGAGACTTTAAGAGTGTATACAATAAATCTACATATATAAGTATGAAAAGATGACCCAGCCATATTATCAAATGGACAGATCTGGCTATAGGGTATTTTAAATGATGTTTCCATTTTTGCAAAGTAAAAATAATTTTATTATCCACAGATCTACATACAGATAAGGAAAAGGCTGAAAGTTCTCAAGTGTGAAAGGGGATTATCTCTGAGTTTGGAACCTGGGAAGGCTTTCACATTCTAAGTTTATATTTATTTCTATCATATAAGTCTACTTCTATCTATAGTCTTTGAAGTATAACTTGTTAAAATGCGGTGAATTCAAATGATAAAGATATTCTGAATGCTAACAAAACCCTGGCACTGGATTAGACCTCTTTCCCAGGTCAAGTTGGGGACTGTGAGGGCAGCAGCAGGCCATAAGTGAGAAGCAGTCTGGTGTGTATGTGTACAACTGCAAGTGTCTTGCTGTTTAAGACAGGAGAGGCCAGAGATAAGAAGGGTAGGCTAATGAGCTGTCATGCCAGACTGAGGGGCTTAAGGCTTCTCTGCTATAGAGAAGGCTATAGGCGTTGTGTGAAACCAGGAACAGCTCTGAAAAACTCATGCATTAAACTCCCTATTAGAAGAGAATGAAGTCCATAAAAATGAACCTGCAATTTTCTTACAGCTTCAGGAAGTTCACAGACTGTAGGGAACATATCTAAAAACCCAGGCAATAGAAACTGATTGGGGATTTTCATCAGAGGAGTGAGCTAATCATATATACAAAGTTATCTGTGGGTGGAGGGTAAATGAAAGAGTTGTGAGACCGAAGTGAGATGGGGAGTTAAGAGCATAATATTTTTTGTTGTCTAAGTTAGTAATGGGACCTCCATCACATGGTGCTGGCTTTAAGTATGGAGACAGATTTAACTATGACACTAACTTGGGATCTTTAGGAGCTTGTGAACTTTCATTATTTCAGATTTCCTTCTAAAAACAGGCCTGCATATGCTACTTCACTGACGTTGGGAAAATTAAAAAAGATACGGCTTACATCTCATTCTGTATAGAGCTTAAGTACAAAGCACAATAACAAAGGGACTTTGGATCACCCGTGTCTTGAGAGAGATATTATTCCAGTGCAGGTGACAAAATTATAGATGAAGCTGGGAAAATGATTTATATCCCCACCCCCCCAGGTCAGCAATTATGAAGAACTTGAGTCCAAAACTTGGGGTCACCTGACTTCAAATTCCATGCTTTATTTCACATATTTTCTTTTCATAGAAAAAGTACTAGAAAGATATGTGAAAAATGAATGGAACTGACTGTTTTAATTTACTTAATTTATTTTTTAAGATTTATTTATTTATTTATTTATGCATACAGGAACTGGGGTATTGGCCAGAGGTTCAGGCAGGGGTTGAGAGAATTCACCAGAGACAGAGTGAGGAGCAGAACAGGCAGATCTATTGAAATACACATCCTGAGAGGAGCAGCAGGCAAGATAGGAGAGGTTTGCTGTGCCATGTGGGTTAGCTCCCTTGTTGGGGATTGAAAGTGCTGTAGCAGTGACTGACCATAGTTTGATAGCTCTGAGACTTTAACCCCTGTGCCACCAGGAGGCCTTGACTATTATAATTTAAATCAACAATAATTAAAGAAAACCTGATAATTCCTGCTGCTATAGGGTGAACCCTCAGGGAATTAACACAACTTATTGTTTGGGCATAATCTTTGCTCTCCTTTGAATACAAACTGAGGCAGCAGGAAGGCCAGCTCTATCCTCTCTAATTCTATGCCAGCAATTCATAAACAAAAGCAGAGACTACTAACTGCTCACCAAATCTCTTCCTTCTGAGCACACAACTAAGCCACATTTCCCAGTCTCTCTGCAGTGAGATGTGGCCTAGGAACAGGGTCAACTGTTTGCCCTGTGGAGAGCCAAGCTCTGATCAGGTTGAAGCCGTCTCATTTGTTACAGAAGGGGCAATGGGAAGGAAATATGTCCAAAGGTTAATGGTTGAAAGTATTGGGAAAGTGGTTTATATTCTTTATAAGTTTCCTTTTTCTACAATGAAGTTTTATACGAGTTATAAAAAGAATATGTATCTTTTTTCCTTACACATAAAAAAAGTCAGAAATGAGAAAATGTCCAAATGTCTGCAACTGATTCTTCTCTGCCAAGCTATTGTTTCCTGCTAGGGACCACCTGATTATCCTCCCAGGGAAGACTTAATAGGAAAACTACAGGCAAATATGGATCCAGACCCTGGTAAAAGTTATGGTAAGACCATGCAAAAATAAGGGCAGTTTTTGTGAACAAAACTCACATGAATCTTTGGTAAGAAAGAAAATTCT